GTATGGACGAAACTCAGGAAGCAATGCTGTCAATACATCACCTTATTCCTCAGCAAAAGACATTCCTGCTGGAGCTTTTGGGAACTTGTATGGTAATACTGTAGGTGCTTCGTTCTATGAGGACTCAGCCTGGCGTTCAACATCTCCAGAACTAGATGACTCTGCATCCTTTGGTTATGGACTTGGGAACGCAGAGTCACTTGGTTATGTTGGTGGTTATAGTGTTGCAAATAGATCAAATAAAGGTAAGAAACTCCTCATTTTTAACTTTTAGTTAATTGTCATGATGTCTTTCTAATGGATGCACTAAACGGTCTGCCACAAAACTTACTCACACATCATTGCTCCTACTGAAAAAAGCGCAGCCCGGAGTACTTAGCTCCCCTATGCACGGGGTATGTGCATTAAGGGTCTATCAGATGCAGCCTTACCTTGCATTTCTCCTGCATTCACCCTGACAGGCTAACCCGAGCTTACCCACATTCTTAACCATTCATGGGCTCAAGTTGGTTTTGGCAATCCTAATCTGAGCTGCAATTTGGTAATGACACACCATGAACTAAGCTAGAACCAAAGAACACACAACGATGATTTTGTTTCTTGCTATGCTTATACATATGCATTGACCGATTTGTTTCATTTGCATAACAGTTAACTTACATATGCTCGTGATTTGTGATTCAGGAATTGCTGCCTAGGAAGATTTATCGTATGGAAGCTTGGATTTAAGAATGCTTAATATAGGTGGAAAATACAGCTTGAGCTAAAGTTGTGGATGTGGATTACTACTCGTATTCTGTTTGAAGAAATACTTCAGTCTAGAGGTACATTCACTTAGAGCTAATTCAGTACCTGCTATAGAAAGAACTTCTCCCAATCGACGTTTACAAAAGAAAGGGACTTCTCGTGTAAGGTTTGAACGTAGATTGTTTAGTATAGAACTTTTCATTTTCTTTGCCTTTTTTTCCTTGTCCCTTGCATATGGTTGAGATGTAAAATTGGATAGCGGAATATACTTACGAGATAATTGTTCCATTACATTATCTGATGAAAAACAATGCAACGTAAAAGCAGATTGTTCGTCCCTTCATCGGATTCTTTTCTTCTTTATTCTTTTCTTTGTTTTCATACTGTAATGCTCCAGCAAACTTGCTGGTGGTTGTTGAAATTTATCTCAATTTCTATCAATTTTTCAGCTTATTTAGTGTATAAAACTTGTGTGACAAATGCTTTCTATATATGTTCTTAAATGATATTTTTATCTCTTATAATCTCATTTTCATCCCACATACTTTTTGTAGTACCCTTCTTGTTTGTCCACATAGAGGTTTGACTATTATAACGTCGTTTGTTTGGATATTTTTTTTTGCTGCTACAGCAAACATGTAATGTAACATAACATGAAAAATATTCGAACGTTATACGAAATATTGTTATAGAGATATTGGAAAGGTCTTCCTCAATTATTGAAGTAGACAATTCATGCATAACCATCCCTCATGTGTTTATTCATTGTATGTCCAAGTCTTGTTTTATGGTTGAGGCTTTGATTTTTCGGATGGTCATTCAATGAATAGTTATTATTTCAAAACGTCGCTTTATTTGTTCAGGAGCAGTTAGAATGAAAAGAAATAGGACTTTTGCTTTTTGAGATAATAACTTCTCTCTTCAAATTTATATGACATGTTTTTCTGTCTGTTTCGAAAAGAATATCACATTCCTTCCTTATCCTTAGTAAAATTATTTATAGCCATTAAAATAGCCGAGTGTTTTGGATTGCAAATTTCAAGTCTTATTTTTTCTTAAACTAAATATCAAGTTAAATTATGTCACATAAAGAAAGTATTAGATTAGCGATTATCCAAGTAATATTGGCCTCAATTAATTGAAACTTAGGAATTTTGCATAAATATCCGATCATGGGACCATAATCTTTTGTTCTCATTTATGGAAAAATTTTAATTATGCAATATATAAGATTTCATATGGTTGAAGTTCAATCGCTCAATCGTATTTGTCTGATCTTCATACATTACGAACATCATATGTGTAAAATTGTTTTGAAGTAAAAAATGTGGATAAATTTTGAGAAAACCAAATACAAAGTAAATAGCAAAGTTTGATTACTTTGTCCGATACTTGTAGTAATTGTCTTGAAATCATCCATTGAAGAGAGAATTTTGGATTATCAATCCCTAAAAAAGGTTTTAAGAACAACAACAAATTAATAATATTTTAAAAAACAGTAAAATCATTAAGCAAATAATAAAGAATATGATAAATATGAATACCCAAATCAATGTTAATCTTCAAATCTAATCTTGAAACGAAAGTAAAAAAAAATAATCGAAAATAAAAATATATTGAATCTGAAAATCTGAGGATATTTGATTTGGATTAATCTTAAAGAAAGAAATTGAAAAAAGCATAATTAAAGGACTTTAGCATCTAGCCAATTACCAAAATATAGGGCCCGTGTAACCTATGACAGAAAAAACATGATTTGTATCATAATATTTTTTTTATTTTTAAAATAATGACATTTTTGACATGTTTACTACTCCCTCTGTCCTTACTTGTCCATATTTTCTCTTTTAGATGTTCCTATTTACTTGTTCATTTTGACAAATCAAGAAAAGACAATTTTTTCTTCCTTTTATACCTCATTTAAACTTTTTGAAAATTTCATAGTTTTAATTCATCCTTTTTGAAACCATATTTAATAAGGGTAAGATTGTAACTTCACTATGTTAATTATTGTTATCTTAATATGTGTGTCTTTTATAAAGTGAACAACTAAATAGGGACAGAAAAATAATATTATTAAAATACGGAGATTATCACTAAATAATTTTATTTTTTAACTAGTTAGCTAAATTTTCCTAAAATAAAATTTAAAAAAAATAAAAATGTTAAGAGGCCCATGAAGATGTGTGGATAAAGAGTGGATCCCACATATTTGATCAGCGGTCCATGGGCTAAGTGGCCCACTAACGAATTATAAGCAAATCGACACTACGTAATGGGCATCTTGTGGATTGTGTATGCCATATTTTTTCTCAAAATAATTACGTGTCTGAATCATTCGATCATCTAATTTTATAAAATATTTTTGAAATTATATAAACTTCATACTAAATCAACATATATTATAAACAACATGTATATATTTGATGGTGTATACATTGTCTTTATTTCAACAATTAAACTAGTTAGTTGAATGATATATATATCTATTAACTCCCTTTCTATATATATTGTTTTTTTGTCAATTTTTGTAAAGTAAAAAAAAAGTTTAAAAATTCCCTAAAATGTGTGGTCAAATATATACTCTTATCCTTATCTTGTGGCTCCATTTACACCTTGGTCTTCCTTCTATTTATTTGCTTTTATATAATTTTAAATCAAAAAGTACATAAAAAGATACTGACTTCTATATTCTTATTTATTATTTCATATTCAAAATATCATGAAATGATATGTTGAAAATCTTAGTCAAGAATAATTTCGGAGAAGTGAAAATAACTATACTGAAATAATAGTTATGCCTTAGTCGCAATAAGTCAGAATCAGATATATAAATTTTTATTTATAATATATTATCATTTATGGTAAATAAAAACATTCCAAGCAGCTACTATACAATTTTTAACCTTGTTTTAATAAATAAGGCAATATTTTTAACTCTCAAATACGATAATATATTTGGGGAAAAAGAAGATAGATGAATACTATAAGGCATTAATATAGTTCCTCTAAGGACTTAAAATCAAGTGTGTGTAAATTAATCATCAGACAATATGGTGGAATAAATAAAATGCATTCCCTCTTAATAAAAAAATTTAAATTTATACTGTGAATATAAAAAAAATAAATTTAATTTAATCAAATTTCGATATTAGATTAAAGAATATGATAGGACCATAACGTGGGGTGACAAATCAAATCAGTTGACAAATGACAGGGAAATTCATGAATGCATGACATATTTTTTAATGAAAGCAAATAAATTATTACTATATTGCTAAGTTTCAACATCAGAATAAGGACCAGAATTTATTTTATTTTTCTTCCTTTTTTTTTAGAGTTCGAAAGAATAATTTGATTTAAAGACAAGTTATATTAAGATTAATTATAATGGAATAAATTATGATGTGATTAGTTATATTGAGATTATTTTTTAATGATTGTTTGTTTTGTCAAATATGCATGACATAATTTTTAAGAGTAAGTTGTGATTTTTTTTTATGACAAGGAAAATTCGCAGTTGCTATCACATAATAAAACCTCCGTTTCTATGCAATAGCTCGCAAACCACATAGGAGAAAGTAACCCGCATCCGACAAGCTTGATGCGACGAGCTCGACCCAGAAGGCAAACCCTTACTTTCGCTGGCAAGAGGTTTGAACTTGAGACCTCCAACGTGGAAGCTCAAACCACTGGACCACCCCGAAGGGTCAGTTGAACGTTTACATATATGCTCTCTAAGAATTCTAAGAATAAGTTGTTTATTTATAAAAGGAAGTTTAAGGAGGTAACTTTGTTATTTTACATTTTTATCCCATAATGTTATCCCGAAATTAATACAAATCACAAGAAAACTTATCTCAGCCATAATTATTAATCTTGGGATAACTTATCCCACACTTTGTAACCAAATAAAGAATTGAGGGGTACTAAAAAGTTATCCTAAGATTATTTTTCTTTACCCATCACACTAAATGATCCCCTAGAGAATTACTTAACAATAATAGTGTTTAAAAAAAAATTCATCTATCACATGGTAAAATGAAAGAAAGTACAAAAGAATAATAAACGGAGAATACAATATAAATAAAGATCATAAATATGAGAAGTTGCCCCGACCTTCCTCAACACCCCTTGTAGTTTCACAAGAAGCTACGAGTTCATGAGAATCAGGATCTTCGTGTGAGCGAACACGAAGAGCCTGATTCTGGCACATAATATTAGAGAATAAGCATAAATTTGAAAACACGGAGAAAAGAGAAGAATCTGTAGCAATGCATTATACAAAAAAAAAAACTAACAGCTCAAAAAAGGGTTCTTCTCCACTTAGCATAATTTACATTTTTTTTCCTTCTAATGGAAGTTTGTTTTCCCATAGCACAGAAATCAATCTAAACTTGTTTGTTTTTCCCCCCATAATATTTCAAAAGCAACAACAGCAAAAGAATTACAACAGGGATTATGATGAACAGCACCCACCTTTTTTCGCTTGTGTCTCGGCTTCTTGGTTTTCGTCTGCCTGCAAAACCACAGTTTTACCATTTGCCAGACGCCCGGAATCCTTTTTTTGAAGTTCTTGCGATTGCATGACTTTCCGGCTCAAGATATTATAGATCTCTTTAACAACTGTTTGAAAAGCTGCAGTTACATTTGAAGAATCCAAAGCTGATGTTTCTATAAAGAATAGACCTTGTGCCTCTGCTAGGGATTTGCCTTCAGCTGTTGTCACCTCCCTCGCATCTTTGAGATCAGATTTATTTCCAACGAGTATTGTAACCACGTTCATGTCAGAATGAGCTGTCCACACAAATAAAGAAGATCAGCAAAATATACAAATTGCACAACATATCGACATGGAAATAGCTCAAATAAGCGTTTATCAAATTTAAACTGCAGAGTATGCAAGTCAAAACTATTAATAGACAAAGGAGTAAACAACATTGTCATAAAACTTACTCTGAAGTTCATTAAGCCATCGACCAATATTTTCGAAAGTTAGCCGTCTACTAATATCATAAACCAGAAGAGCTCCAACTGCACCTCTGTAATATGCAGAAGTTACTGCCCTAAACCGTTCTTGACCTGCTGTGTCCCATATCTGCGCTTTGACCTCCTTCCCATTTATGTCCAGCTTTTGGGTCTGGAACTCTACTCCAATTGTTGATTTTGAGTTGGGATAGAATTCATCACGAGCAAATCTAGCAAGCAAATTTGATTTCCCAACAGCTGAATCACCAATCAAAACAATCTTGAAAAGGTAATCCTCCGTTTGTGTTTCCTCAGAACGAAACGCCATCTTCTATGTGTAAAATGGCAAGCTAGAACATCATATTTGCTTATTTTGTAGCTAAACAGCAAAAACAAGAAACTTAAAGCACAAACAGGCAGAAGGCCCTCAAGGAAACTTGCAAGGCAATACAAGCATATATAAGACAAAACACTTCCACTTAGGAATTGGTTTAAGAAGAGAAGAAAGGAATCTCAGATAATACAAGTTGTATAATGAAAGGTGAAGAAGGACTAGGTAATATAGAATAAGGATTTTCTATCAACCCTGTACTAAACTTCTTCCAGCCGCTGCACCACTGGGTAACTCTTTCCTATTTTATTCAGCCCTCTAACGGACAGCTTATAAAAAAGTACCTGCATAAGAAGAAAAAAAGATAGAAACTTGAAACATCAGCAAAGCATCCAGTCTACACTTAGCTTTCCCATAAAACAATGAGTCATTCTTCTGCAACGTTCTTCAATAGGATATAGTCTGATTATAATTAACATATGTAAGGGAAAGGAAATTATACAAGACTAATTAGCTGTCGCTCATCTAGTGCCCCGTCCTTGCCGCCTCTCACTTCCCTTGCTTCTTTTGCAGACCTTTTAAACGCAAACCTAGAAGAAAAATGAAGGGAAGTATTACCATAAGACTTAACACAAAATTGTGCTTGCAGAAATCATTTCTGGTTGTTAACATAATATAAGAAACCGAAAATTGTTATCTCCAAAATATTCCACTAATTCAAAACCAAGTCACACCAAAGACAAATTACTCCCTAATACTGCAAAAGGTCAACTAGTTATTGTGTACACTATCTGCATTGGCTTTTTCTTCTTTTCTCTTTTGCCACTTCTTAAGGATAAGGGGGTTTGAATAAAGAGGGGAAAGGGTGGAATTTGAGATAGATGGGAGATAATTCTCAGGGAAATAGTAATATGTATGGACTGCAAACAATGATCATTAAACACTGATGCTCAAAAAGTTTGCTAACTGTCAGAAACCACATGAGAAAGACACACAACAGAAAGGTAAGTGTCAACAGAAGAAGATTAATATTTCCTCTTGCTCTCCAGCAGCAGGGAAGGGGAGGAGTTGAGGAGGTTCCCTCTCAAAAACGGAAATGGATACTTGAAAAGGGAAGCTAAGTGTATAGCATTCAATAGAAAGGGATAAAACTGCAAACCAAATTACTAAAGTTATCATGCAGTAAGGGCTTTTAACAACATACAAGGCATACAAGATCTGATGACACCAGAAGAACATATAATGCCCATAGGTTGAAGCAAACAAAATACTCCAATTTCACTTATATAGTCTAAACATTGTCTATGAAAAATCAAGAATATTTGCCTAAATATTTGTAATATAACAAAAAATTAACCAGTGGTAATATCCGTTAAGCCACATTTAATCCCTACAATGTACTTAATGATGACACCTGTACCTTGAAAAACGATTTTCACAGTTCACAAAGTGCTCTCTCGCTAGTCTTGCGAGATGTCAAAGATCTAACTTTGAGCAATAATTGTTAATACTCAAGTGCAGTATTACACTGTGTTACTAGTTTTTGACAAGTATCGTACAGTGATATTGTAGTTTTCCATTTCCTCACGCCCTAAAATTAGAACCTTGTCACTAGATGTTGATTGCCCTAGTTTAGGTTCTATGATGGATAAAGCCTTTTCAAGTCAAAAAAATACCCAAATACAACCTTCAGAGTTCAGAAAGAACTAACAGATAGTATAAATAAAAAGTCTTTTTATCAAGGTAGCTGCATACACCTCATCCACAAAATACACCATCAGAAGACCCCAACATTCATGAATACAAAACAGTCACTATCTACATGTAAAATATGTTGACCAAGAAGGGAAATTGATCCAAGGGAAAGTAGGATTCTACAATGCATTTTATGACTTCACTCGATAAAGGCTATAAATTGAGGGACATTCTGGTGACCTGAAGGCAAAAATCAAGCTTATGAGATGGGTCACAAAGACCATGTAGTTTTTTAATCCAGGCCAACTTGTGTGCAACTTGACTAATCCACCACATACCAGCTACCTTCCAGTTATTACAAGTATCAGTATCTAGCTAAGCTTAGACAAATGGGAAGAAATCACATAGTGCATAAGTTGGGATATTAACACCGGTCTCAACATGGCCAGCTAAACCACACCCTTGATCGCTAGTTACAAAGACTATATATAAACAGGTGAAGCGATTTCCTATACGGGACCCACGTAGTTTGTAATTTCAATAATAAAAGCTGCACTTGCATAGATATCTACAACAAAGTTAATGAGGTCAGATAAACAAAGACTTTTAGCAAGTAGACTTTGAAAATGTCAGGTCAATATGTAATCCTCCATTTGATCATGCCACACAAAATGTGTTGGTAAACATATCCTAACTGATCTTAATTACTCCTTATCTCATAATGACAATTGGAAAGACTCAACTTTGTACATGACACCACACAATCCCAAAAGTAAACAGTTTTTCTCTGACATCCCAAAACAGTATTTAAGTACCAACATAAACAAATATATCTACCAGACATAATCACAATGAGAAATGACATTATTATTTGGCATTTACCCATTAAAGATAGAAAAGACACATGCTACATTAAGTACAATTACGGGTTGTTTGGTAGCTAGTAAATAAGTAACTTATTCATGTATTATTAACTAGTTTGTTTAGCCATTTAGAAACACGAATAACTAATACATGTACGAATTATGATACCTTATGTGGATAAGTAAAAGATGGAATAACTAATACCTACGTAATTCTAACCAGCTACCAAACAACCCCTTAATTTCCACCATTTTCATAATGCTCCCAAATCAAAAAAAAAAATCAATCTTTCCTTTTTCATGACATTTTTCTACAAGTTCCAACACAAAAAGGGAATTGTTTTCAGTTTTCACCATAACAAGCTTATAAACCAGCATAATGTAACTACAAAATAAACAAAGCAATCAATAAAAAGAAACAATTTTGACACATACCCACTTCTTTATATGACGAAAGGATCTTCCCCTTTTATCAATCTCCCACGATGTGATCAAATCAGAACCGTTTCTAAACCAGATCAATCCCAAAAAAAAAGTTAAAAAGAGTAAAATGTGTTAAAAAACACAGAAATTAAAGGATTGTTTCGATTTTTTTAATGATTTTTGGAGAGATTGGGTTGGGTTTGAAGATCCAGGGGAAGAAAGAAGAAGAAGAAAGAGCAGGAGAGAGAGAGAGAGAAAGAGAAGGGGCCAAAAGGGGGAAGAAAACCAAGATTCTACAAACTGTGCAAATTTGGAAGGAACAGATGGTCACATTAAATGGGCTTTTCTAAATGGGCCGGATCTTTTTTAGTTGGCCCAATTAAATGTACATACATGAGCTTTATCGATCACAGTCTTGACCTCCGATCGAGCTATGAACACGAGTAGATATGTCGTTGGGGTGGGGGGAGGGGTCACTAGACTTGCTTTTTCAATTAATCTTTGGCCGTTTCGTTCAATATCGTGATTGGTGTGAGTTGTAAGGAGTTTTGATCTCGATTTAAGTCCGGACGTCATTTCATTATCGTAATAAAAATAAGTGCACCAGAAGAATTGACAAGTTGCTCCCGATGTGAACTATTTGATATCTGCTATGTGATCCAACTAGTATAATTTCACGTCATTCTAGTGAAGTTAAGAAGAAACTGATATAATTCGTAGTTGTTGATGTTTATATTGATCGATCATAGAAGAAGAAATCATTAATCTGCTTGTTTATTAATTCAGTCAATTTAATCCACGAGAAATCTTATCAAAATATTTGTAACTTTTTTTTTGTTAGATTATATATTCTCTATTTTAATTTATTTGTCTAGTTATGATTTCACCCGAAGTTTCAGAAAGTAAAAATAATAAATCGTGTGATCTTAAATTAATGATACTAATGATGTATAGTATGTATCAAAATACTTTTAAATCTTACGATCTTTGTAAACTTAAATTAAAAAGTGGTAAGAATCAACATTAATTATAAAACTTAAATAATTTTATGTTAACGCTGCTATAATTTTAACAAACAATAATTTTATATCTTATAATTCAAACATAATAATATATTCAGTTATAAAATTTTGAAAATCAACTTTATATTCAATTATAAATATATCACTCATATTTAAAAATAAAAATAAACATTTAAAATTTAAATTTTACGATCCCTAGCAAGACACATGCATGTTGCCTAGCAAATAAATGTACCTGCAATACTGGCCATGACTGCTGCATACATTTAATGATATGAAATTTATTTCTACACTTTAATGGATTTGATCTTTAAAATACTTAACATTGAATTCATTATATTTTTAAAAATTATAAACTTATCGGTTCAATCTTGTATTTATTAAAATTAACATAAATTGTGGAATAATAAAAAATATTTGTATACACATAACTCCATAATATGTATATAATGGGCTAGATTTTTTGGGCCTTTTGCTTTCTCTATTTTGGGCCCTATAATTTGCACAAAAGGATATATCGATAACATTATTCTCTATTCAATTTAGATGTTTTGTTAATTGGATTATCATTGTCAAAGCTAAAAACAAACAACGATAATCCATATTATATGACTTCATGTTATATGCAATGTAATTGTTGTATCGAGTACTTACAAACGATATGTATTTTACGTATTGTAAGAACAAATATGTCATTTGCTTAAAAATTAGAAAAGAAATTACTTACTACTATGACGACACTGGGTACTCTTTAAGCAATTCATCCATATCTTAACCACACATGAAAAATCATCTTTTTATAACGGGATAATTGTATATAATAGCAAATTAATAACCTAAAATAAATAGAGTAGCTACTGTTTGATTTAATTGTGCCCCATAGCAAATATTTGCCAAAGTTTGCCAGTCGCCTGCCTCTCTCCCAAAACTCTCGCTCGCCACTCTCCCTCTGCTCGCCTCTCTCGCTTTATACAACAAAAGTGTATAAATTGTGTTTTTGTTTTGTATAAAGCGAGAGAAAATTGTATATACACATGCAAAAACATATATCTTCGTGCTATACACTTAATTATACAATTTACAAACATTTTACTTTGATTCAATTGTATACAAATGCAAATCTTATACAAATATTGCAACGAATTATACAATTGTGAATTATACAATTGTAGTGAAATATAATTTTCTCTCGCTTTATACAACAAAAGTGTATAGATTGTGTTTCTGTCTTTATATAAAGTGAGAGAAAAACATATATCTTCTTCCCATACACTTATAATTATACAATATACAAACATTTTACTTCGATTCAATTGTATGCAAAGCAAATTTTATACACATATTGCAGCGAAATAGGCCAGCAAATTATACAATTACGCATTATACAATTGCAGCGAAATATGCCAGCAATTATACAATTGCAGCGAAATATGCCAGCAATTATACAATTGCAGCGAAATAAGCCAGCAAATTATACAATTTAGGCCATTGAATCATACAATTTAGGCCAGTGAATCATACAATTGTATATGTATATCGAGGCCAGCGAATTATACAGTTGTATATGTATAGCGAATTATACAGTTATATGTTTGCTATGGAGCGCAATTATGTAAACTTTGTTGTAGCATAAAAATATGAATTGTTTGTTTGCTATATGTGAAAGTTGTATACATAATTTCGAAAATAACCTCTCTATCTCTACGAGTTAATTGTAAAATTCATGTACATTCTATCCTCCTAAACCCTACTTATAAGATGTCATTATTGTTATTGTTAAGCAATCAACAATGTTTACCTTATTTTATGATTATTGGCATACCTAAAATTCTTCTAAAACAAAATAACCATGATTTCACTTATACCAAATAAAGATGATTAAACATTTACAATATTCAATCAAGTAAGCACCCTAAAAACATAGCAATACAACTTATACTTATCTTCTACACAAATTTAGTAACAATTAAATATGAAGATTCTATGCACATTAGTCTAGTTGTTCTATGATTATTATACATCTCTTAGGTTATTTTATTTTATTGTAAAATACAGTTGTATTGATAGAGCAAAGATTTATATTTATTCCAATTAAACATATATTAACAGTATTGATAGTGCAAAGATTTATATTTATTCTAATTAAAGATATATATTACTTTAATAGTTATATGTTATTTTAATTTGAATATTTGAGATATTGAGGTTAAAGAGTAATGATATTTGTCGTGATAACCTCAATAAATTAGATACGTTGGTATCAAAAGTATAGTTAAATAAATAAAAATATAATATTTTGAATAATTTAAGCTACAAAGGACAAAGTAGAAATGTCAAAAATACTAAAAAACACAATAAACCCCTGAATAAAGGACAAAAGAAATGTCATTTTCTTGACTAATATTACCTTTTATTATGTAAAAAAACAACATGATATGGACCAAAAACCACAAAAAAAGGAAGAAATCATTATTAAAAATAATACGCAATGTGCAATTGCTTAAATATAGATATTTTGAACATAAAAATAAATATTATGTTCTTAATCATGTTTTTATTTTTAAATAAAGAATCTTTTTGTAGTCAACAAGTAACAACCACCCACCTAACAAAAAGAAAAATATTTTCATACGAAAACTGAAATAAAGGTATTTTTTTTTATTTTAAATTTTTTCGAATAACGTTGATATTTTGCTTATAATAAAATTTTATCTAGTCTTAAAGTTAATTGTTTGATAAAAATTAAATCTAAAAAGTTAAAAAATAAAAGTAAAATGGTGCATTTATGATCAAATACAATGGCTTTAAGACAAAATCACAAATACTTTTAAATTTGACCAAAATCGAATCGAAATATTGAATATTTACTCCTAATTTTAGCCCATTTTTAATTAACAATTTATTTTTATATAGATTTTTCAACCTCAAACACGCAAATAACAACACATGTGCTCCTCTTCCATGAATGGTTACATCGTTGAATCTACTCAACAATAAATTTAGAGCCCGATTGGATTGACCAAAAGAAAATAATTTTTAAGTAAAATAAAAAGTTAAATTGAAATGATTTTTTTAAAAAAATAAAAGTAAGAGGAGACATAATTTTGGTTTCTGACTTATTTTAAGTTATTTTTTACCTTGTTAAACACGTTTTAACTTATTTTAAGTCATTTTAAACTTATTTTAAGTTATTTTTTTGTATATTTTCAAACATTTTCATAAATAAAAAACCTACTTAAAAGTAGGTTTGATTGACTTTTAAGTCGATCCAAACAGGCTCTTATTCAAACTCAATACTTCCTCTATCTTTAATTATATGTCCACTTTTTAATTGACTTATCCATTAAGAAAATAATTAATGACATAGTGAGATTACCATATTACCCCTATTTATTATGAAGTACATGAAATTTTTTTATATTTATTAAAAATAATTAGTTATTTAATTGAGCATATAATAGATAAAAAATTTTTATCTTTTTTTAATTTGTCAAAATAAATAAATAATAAAAAATAAATATAAAAGAAAAAATAAATAGATAATTAACAATCGAAAATATTTTTCATATTTCTAAATAAATATTAACATCTGAATTCATAATTTTAAAACTTAGAAACAAATGGTAATAGGTGCATTTTTAATTTACTTTATCTTTCTTTGTTTTTTCCAATATTAACATAATAAGGTATTTAATTTATAGCATCAACACCAATGCAACATCAGTTTCCTAGGATCAAATGCATTAAATTTGTTCTCAATACTTATCCCATAAGTCATACTACTTTTTGTCTCTGATCAATTCATCCATTTATTAAGAAAATATTATTTTATCAATACTATTAATTATAAAATTAATGAATTAAAAATTTAAAAAAATTATTTTTTTAAAAATAATCAATTAAGAATATAATAGATAAAAGAAAACTGAATGAATAATTAGAAACAATTTTGAAAAAATATGGACTAGCAATTAATTATTTTTTATTTTTGGTCTTTTGTGTTGTGAACAATTATCAACTTTGTTAGTTTATCTTTTTTCCTTTTGTTTTCTTCTTCGATGAAAGAGGAAAATCTCTTTTTTTTTCTTCCGATCATGGAAAAAAGTCGTTACGGTTGATTTGTAAATCATGTATCGATCAATTTAGTATGTTTTTTTTATATATTATTAATTTAACTTTTTGATTATTGATCGTTAATATGCTAATTTAATAATCAAACTAATTCAGATATATGATAATTTTCTTTTTAATCAATAAAAAAGTGTTTTATTCGATTATATACATACGATATTTATAAAGTAAAAATAAAAACGTAACACATATTTCTAAATTTATCATTTTTTTGATATATAATTATATGAATTTCTTATAAAAACTTATGTCTGTTTTCTTTCAATGTCGAATCTTAAATTGAAAAGAGCAAAATAACTAATCTTAACAAAAAATCACTAACATTTTTTTTATCCCCACAAATTAGGAATTTCATATGATAAAAAAATGAGTTACGTAATTTAGTATGTTCCAAAATTTACGGGACATATCTATAGTATTAAGAAAAGCTACAAAATAAATCAAAAGCGAACTCACAAGTAATTCAATTAAAAAAAAAGTTTTTTTTCTAAATATTAATGTATAATATTTAAATTAATAATTCTATAAAAAATTAAACTTTATCCTAAATATGAATTTGTAATTATCGAACACACTTTATAAGATAACCTCTACCTCTAAAAACAAATTACTTACCAAATTCTATATTAGGAATTTTATTAAACTAATTGTGATATTTCTTCAATAATTAAAAGGATAAACATATAATAAAATCTTTATCAGATTTGAGTTTTGACACATAATTTCTTTTCCCTTTTGACTTGAGTTTTACACATTACATATATATGTATACACAAAACATCATTTTTATAATCTTATCATCAAAAAGTAGATAAAAAGCTGTGGACTCTCTTTCAGAAAAAAAAAATAAAAAATTGACAACTAAACTTAAGGTACTCTTTTTTTGTGTTTATATGATTTTTTGTTGTAATTCTCAATTCCAATTGTTATTTATTTATGTTTTTTAATAATAAATTTGTAATTTTGGCTCTGCTTTTTCTTTTTTTTGATTGTGCATGATTCTATGATGTATTTTGATTTGATTTCATAGGTATCTTTGTTTATTTTCTGTGTAAATATAAGTCTAGAAAAGAAAATGGTGTTTTTTTTGTTAATAAATAGTAATAAAGTTGGGAACTTTTTGTCAATTTTTGCTTTTATAGAATTGGTATTGTTTATGGATAAGTTGGAATATGAATGAACTTAATAAGTATATCTATTGTAGAAATTGGTGATATTTTTGTGCTAAAAAGATTCTCTCATCACATATTTTGTCATGTTACCTGCATTGGAGTCTGACTAATTTATGTTCATAGCTCATTCGGGGTAATAGAATTTCCTTATTTGATCAATTATTATAACAAGAATCTTACTTTTTTTGGTCCTAGTGCTACTTTTTTGTTGCAATTTGTATTAAAGAAAGGAATTTGATGCTTTGTATTGAATAATGTATGTGATTTAGAGTATTTGGAGGTGTTTTTGTTGTTGTTTGCAGAGTAGATTTGTGTTGTGAATTCTTTTTGAGACAGTATGGAGGGTGCTCCTCACAAAGCTGCGAAGACGGAGTTTACAGAATGTTGGAGGACTTCATGGAAAACGCCTTACATTATGCGTCTCGCCTTTTCTGCTGGTATAGGAGGGCTGCTGTTTGGTTATGATACTGGTAAAAGACTACTCCTTTTTTAGTTCTTTCTTGTTTTTATAGTGGAGAATTTCGTTAAATGGTGTTCAAGATTTAGTATGTATGTATATATAAAAGTGATATTTCACCTATATATAGAACGTCGTATTCTGTCACCGGGTGGTCAATTGATCACTCTTCGTAGGCTGTTTGGTTATGATACCGCAATAAGGCTATACTGACTTTCTAACTACCAGTCGCGAATATTTAATAACTACCAGTGATATTTGACCTAAATACACTGAATAATTTCCCGATAGATGTGGTTAACTGTGCACAACTTCACGGTCTCTAGCTCCGCTCGTGTTCAACACTATGTTGTTGGTACAGGTTCTTGTCGTTTTTTTTTCAAAAGTTTGGCTTAATGTTATTTTCTTGGAAACCAGGTGTGATATCTGGTGCATTGCTTTATATTCGCGATGATTTCAAATCTGTTGGTAAGCGTACTTGGTTGCAAGTAAGTAGTTTACTCTGGTTTATACGTTAAGTTAATTTGATTGTATCGTGAAAATGAAATAAGTCGGGCTGTTTCCTCATAACTATGTAGGAAACCATAGTAAGCATGGCTGTTGCAGGGGCAATTTTCGGGGCAGCATTTGGTGGATGGTTCAATGACAAATATGGTCGGAGAAAATCGATTCTTTTAGCAGATATCTTGTTCTTTATTGGTGCCATCGTCATGGCAGTTGCCCCGGCACCTTGGGTGATAATTATTGGAAGAGTACTCGTCGGTTTAGGAGTTGGAATGGCTTCTATGACTTCACCTCTTTATATATCAGAAGCTTCCCCTGCTCGGATTAGAGGAGCTTTAGTTAGCACGAATGGTCTGCTTATTACGGGAGGACAGTTTCTATCTTATCTTATCAACTTAGCATTTACAAGGGTAATGATACATGTTGAATCTCTTTAGCAGTTTTTTAGTCCATTGCATGTGTTCTTTTTTCGGAATTTTTCAACTGATTATTCATCACATTTTAGACCAAAGGAACTTGGCGATGGATGCTTGGTGTAGCTAGTATTCCTGCTCTTGTTCAGTTTATCCTAATGCTGTCTCTGCCCGAGTCACCCCGATGGTTGTATAGAGCGGTTAGCCTATCGCCTCTTAAAGTTTCTCTTTTTTGCTCATATTTTGTCTAGTAGATTTTATTGTCATTGCCATGATCGATTTGTACATGTCCGTTGACTTTTTTCTGCAGGACAAGAAAGACGAAGCTAGGGCTATATTAGAGAAGATTTATCCTGCTCATGAAGTCGAAGACGAGATGAAAGCATTGCAGACTTCCATTGAAGTAGAGAAGGCTGACAAAGAGTTCCTTGGGGATGGTGTGTTTTCAAAAGTCAAGAGTGCTTGGAGCAACACTATTGTTCGTCGGGGTCTCTATGCTGGTATTACAGTCCAGGTGGCACAACAATTTGTCGGAATCAACACGGTCATGTACTACAGTCCTACTATTGTGCAACTGGCTGGATTTGCTTCTAACAAGACAGCTTTAGCTCTCTCGCTCATAACGTCTGGTCTCAATGCTGTTGGCTCCATTATCAGTATGTGTTTTGTCGACAGGTACGGAAGAAGAAGGTTGATGATTGTCTCCATGTTTGGTATCATAACATGCCTAGTGGTATTGTCCGTGCTCTTCATGCAAGCTTCTATACACTCCCCACGAATCAGTGCTTTCGAATCCAATCACTTTGGATCAAATTCCACATGCTCGGCGTTTCTAAATGCTCCGGGAGCGTCGTCCTGGAACTGTATGAGTTGCTTGCAGGCTTCCACAGATTGTGCTTTCTGCTCTAATGGAAACAACAAAGTAAGTTCTTTTGTTGATTCTGTCGTTATACTTTGCACTACTTATCTGTTGCCATTTCATTATTGAATCCGTATAAAATACGTCAATGCCTGAAGTAAACGTCAGTTTGAAACATGAAGTAAAGGTTTAGAACCTGACGTTCCCTAACTCAAACCGGCCTACAAGTCAAATTCGTGACAATAGGCCAATACTGCTAACGCTAAATCTTGCGTATGGAATCTTGCATTTATTGCATTGCTATTCATCAATCGCTCATCCTAGTGTCAAAACAACCTCTCTACCTTCTCAAAGTAGGGGTAAGGTCTCCGTACACTCTACCTCCCAAGTGGGATTACATTGGATTCTTTTTTCTACTTCCGCATATCTACTATTGGTACTGACGTTAAGTTTCTGTGATCAGTATCATACTGGTGCATGCTTGTCTCTAAATGACAACGTTAAAGGTTTATGTCGATCAGAGAAACGTGAATGGTTCACTAAAGGTTGTCCTAGCAAGTTTGGGTTCTTTGCAGTGATGCTTCTTGGTTTGTACATCATAGCCTACTCTCCTGGGATGGGAACAGCTCCGTGGATCGTTAACTCTGAGATATACCCCTTAAGATACAGAGGCATTGGTGGTGGGATCGCGGCCGTCTCCAATTGGGTATCCAATCTTATCGTTAGTGAGACGTTCTTAACGTTAACGGAGGCAATTGGTTCATCTGGTACATTTCTTCTATTTGCTGGATTCTCAACTATTGGTTTAATAGCCATATACTTTCTGGTGCCTGAAACTAAAGGCCTACCCTTTGAGCAAGTTGAAAAAATGCTTGTGAAAGGCTATAAACCCAAATATTTTCGCAAGAAAACAGGCGAAAAAGCCGATACGAGCTAAGTTTAGTTTAGTCCATAATCTTAATTAGTGTGTGATTTGTGTCTGATTATGGTGAAAACCCTCTGATTATTTAGTTGATGTTTTATATAGTATAATATAAGATGATCAGAGAGTATAAATATTTTGGTTTCTCAATTGGAGATTTTATATATGGCATACTATTGCATTTTTAGCCAAAAATGTTCTTAATAGTCATTTTTTCATTTTTCAAACTTTTTGTTAATGTGGAATTCTATTTCTTCTCTCTGATTATAAAGTTATAGTTACAATTATTTTGCGTAACTGTTTTAGTAAATGACCTTCATTTTATTAATATTCCAACTTATTTAACCATTTTCTTATTTCTAATAAGATTTTTATTCAAATAGGACAAAATTTAAATGATGAACTTAAAAGTGGTTGTGTTTTGAATAACCAAGTGCATATAAGAGACAATCTAGATAAAGCAAAAATTAGTTCAAGCCCATGTATTTTATTTTGGGTCGTTTGGATTTTATTTTGGGCCGGTTTTAAGAGAGGGGAACTTTCACAGATGGTCACTAAAAAATAGCCTAATTACTCTCCGTATCCATAATTTGATACTAAAAAATAGCCTAATTACTCTCCGTATCCATAATTTGATAATGGAAAAAAGGGTCTGATATACCCCTTAACTTTGTCATTTAGAGTTGATATACCCCTTGTTATGAAAGTGGCTCATATATATACCCTTAGTTGTAACAAATGGCTCACATATACCCTTTTCCTCTAACGGAAATGAAAGAAAAATAATTTTAATCTAAATTTTTATTATTTTTTTTCTAAAAATATATAATCCCATATGAGTAAATTTAATCCTCGTCAAATGTGACTTTTTTTTTGTTTCAATGACTAATTTATAATTATTATTTTGATGATCAAACTTATTTATGTTTCACTAATATTCTTGTAAAACTTATTGTAGATGACCAAATTTTTCTTCGAATACGAAATTAAATTACAATACACACAAAAAAAATAGTTCAATTTTTTCTCTTTAAACTAAGAAATGAAAGAAAAAAATAAAATAAGAATAAGAAACTCAATAATTATAATAAAAGAAGTTAAAATAATTTATATATGAAAAAAATTAAAATTTACCTTGAACTTTGATAGAAGAATCATATATACCCCTAAATAATTTTTTTTAAAAAAATTAGAAGTAATAAATATAAATTTAAAACTAATTTTTCAACTTCCGTTAAATGAAGGGTATATGTGAGCCATTTTGTAACGGCAGGGGTATATGTGAGCCGTTTGTATAACGGTAAGGACATATATGAACCACTTTTATAACGAGGGTATATTAGCTCCAAATGACAAAGTTGAGGGGTATATCAGACCCTTTTCCCTTTGATAATTACAATTTGTAGCTACATGTTACATGGAGAAGAGAGTCAGTGAGACTGGGAGAGAGAGGGGAGAGGAAAGAGGGGGAAAAAGTGGGAAAGAGATTAATTGTATATGTTATTGATTAGATAATTGCATATTATACATATGTATTTGTACATATGACAAGCGAGATTGAAAGAGAGAGGAGAGAAAAGAGCGAGATTGGAGAGGGAGGAGAAAGGCGAGCTATATTGTGAGAGGGAGGAGAGAGGCGAGAGAAGGAGGGCAGAGAACGGGAGAGAGGTGAATCATATATGTATATTGATTAGATAATTGTACATATGTATTTGTATATTATGGCGAATTATACATATAAAAATGTGGCTAATTATACAAACTCGAAGTCAGTCCACATAATTAATGCATAATGTTAGTCGTGAATGGTGATATAGCAAACTATAACTATGATGAGTAATTAAGTAGCATAAGTTTGCTAAAATCGCGTAATTTTCCTTAAGATAAAATGGTAACAATTTGCGAGTAGCCACTTTTTCATCTATATGAATTTTACTAATATGAATTCGTGTCGAGTAAAATCAAACTAAATGAAGAGATTTCACCTAATCAATATTTTCACAATTTAGACAACCACACTAAAAGCTTATTATAATTAAAAAATTATATATATCCAGCCTAATTTCATAAATGGAGTCTGGTGATGGTATTATCTATATGATTGTCTTTATAGGAAGAGATCAAATAATAAAGGGTATTCTTAAGTTAAATAATTGAGAGAAAAATTGAAAGATATAATAGGAGGGAAATAATAATCCATCCAAACATGAAGACAAATGACAAGCTGTTTGTGTTGAGCCAGCTAATGCATTTCATCATATAATAAAAAAGGGACAATGTCTACTATTTTTTTACCAAACAAGGTAATCTCTTGTGGGGTTGGTGCTTGCCATTATTATTCATCATATATAAAAATCTCTGTGCATGCACTAGTAACCCTTTCTTTCTAGGACCCTACCCTACACATCCTTCAATCCCCTTTGCCAAAATTTTTTTTTAAAAAAAATAAAAATAGTAGTCTTAAATCCTACTAATAGTTATCCATTTGGTTGTTCAGAATCTTTAAAAGGGAAAAAGAATAAATATATATCTACACTATCGTAAATAGTACGTGCATACTCTTCGTCATATTTTGAGGATATTGGTGTCTTTGTTATTCAAAAACTAGAGTATATATGCCCTTCACTCTAACGGAAGACTAAATAGAGATACGTGGCGCAATATTATCCATCGATAAATGTCGAATCAGTGGATAAGATTGTGACACGTGAATGTCCGTTAGTATAAAGGGTATACATGCTCTAGTTTTTGGACAACAGGGGCATTAATGTCCCAAAAATATGACGGAGGGTATTTGTATATCATTTACGATAGTTTAAGGATATATTTGTCATTTTTCCCTCTTTAAAAATAATCATTCACTTCCATTATGTCCAAGTTTTAGTGGACACGATATGATCCAAACAACAAAATTATCACATTTCGACATGAGCACAAACATTTTTGAAAAATCTGAGCAAAAGCATATATTAAGAGATTCTTCAACTCTTCAAACTTGTTTGAACATTTCAATTTTCATCATAGCTCCCTCATTCCTCTCTATAGAAGTGATGAAGAGCAAATTAATAGCATGTGACTATAAAACCTATGATGACAAAAGTTTAGTTATTGATAAGGCTAAATTAAATGCTACCTATTATACCCTATTTAAAACTTTACCATATTTTCATAAACCAAAAAACTAGAGTATATATGTCCTTCACTCTAACTATCCCGATCGATTCATATAGTCGATCATGACTTGTTTAAAATCACAACGCGCTTTATAATACTTGAATACCTCAATAATGAAAAGGAGAAAGGTCCAAGTCATTTCAGTGACTTATCAGCTAACAGTTTCAGATCAGAGCATGCCAAAACTTTAGAGAAAAATAGAATAAGGGAGGACCACATAGCACATGAAGGGTGGGGGATGCTCAAAAGGTCATAAATTGATTAAAGAATGGTTTCAGTGTGAAGTCTCGGGTTCAAATTTCAAATACAAATAACGATTATGTAATGTTTGTATTGGTTTAAAGTTACAAAATCTCTCGTAAAATTAGTCAAAATGTGCAAGCTGAGCTAAAACACCACGATTACTTGAAAAAAATATTCATGATAAAAGGGGTCAAAGGTGGAAGGACCAATAAATGGTTAGCTAACCAACTAATATGAATCCACCTTAATTGACTAAATTCTAAGCAAATCTTGCCAGCTAAAAGTCACTTAGTGACATAGGACAAAGACAAAGATGAGCATAGAAGCCTCTTTACTCTTTAATGATCATTTTGTATTCAATATTTATTGATAAATTAATATCGCGTAACATTTTAAACATAGCTGGAACCTAAGACTTCAAATCTCAAACCCGAAACCTTTTTGAGAGAATCTGGATGGTGGACAAAAATCTAAAGACACACTATTACAACAAGAATGGTACAAAGTCCAGTGGGGGGAGGTGGGGTTTTTTTTGTACAACTTCTACTAAAACCAAACACAAGCATCTGATGCTTCACTAGTTGCATAGAGAGCTACAAAATTCTTGAAAATTCTAATGTTCACAAATCATGAAAATATCTCACAACTGACCAAATATGTTGCTCCAAACAAAACACAACAACATAACCATTACAATCCAACCAAGACTCGTCTGAGGACTCGAAAGGTACCGATCAAGAAAAAACAGTTCAAAGCAAATGAAAGTACAAGAAACAATAGATAGTAACAGAAATCGAACTATAAGAAACTAAAATATGTTGCTTCATACACTTAACATATTCAAGAAGAGGGAACAAAAACAACTTCTAGCATACTATGCTATAGTTGATATTCACACACTAAAAATCAAGAAAATTAGTAAAACCTTTCTACAAGAACTTGGACCTCACAAACAAAACTAGAGGATTATAACCCAAATTCTCACCAAACCAAAAAGAAAACAACAAAACTAGGCAAACAACCATCTGCTCCCACAAAAACCAGCACCAGTTAATACTTAAAGAGGGTCATAAAGAACCCCTCCTCTAATTTACCTAGTCAAAAAATGTCAGTTTTTTCCTCACTACATATAATTTTTTTTTTATTTAGTAAAACACTCTGTACAAACTCTTAAAAACACTTGTTCCTATACACAGAACAAAACCATTACAACAGAAATACCAGTCTAACACTATCATTTTTCACTCAAGGAGTTGAAGTTGAAGCTTCTTGTCTTGGTTCTCTCAAGTATCCTAGTAGTGTTTCTGCCTGCAAAAAAGAAGAAAAAAACAAAACATTAAGGCCCTAATACAACTTCATTTCTTGGACCAAGAATGCATAAAAGCAGACTACAACATCACAGTCATTGAAAGCAACATAGCAGCAGTATTCATTCCATACGTTACTACAACTACGACAACATACTCATATAATCCCACGAGCGAAATCTAGGAAGGGTAGCGAATACGCAAACCCAAACCATACAATTGTAATCCCAAAAATATCACTTTCTTTCTTTCTTCATATCTTACTCATCTTCCAAAACTCATGTATCAGATTATTAGGACACACCATATGACATGTTTATGATTATACAAGCTAAAATTGCCATATTAGCCATTAAAAATTCAATCTTTGACCTCATATCTTACTCATCTTCCAAAACTCATATATCAGATTATTAGAACACGGCATATGACATGTTTATGGTAATACAAGCTCAAAATTGTC